ACAAAAAACTATATATTTGATGTTTTTAAAAATTTGATAATAATTATTTAATATTTTTAAATTTCTATTTGTAGAAAAACTAATAGATTTTAGTATAAATAGCAACATTATCTCTAGATTTAAATTTTTTTAAAGAATAAGATAAGATTGCCTTTTAATTTCTTACTTATTCTTTGTTATTGAAGAAAAGAAAAAAAAAATTAATATTAAACATTTTATAGTAGATGGTTAAATTTAAAGCATTAAACTTTCTAATAGTAGAAATTTAATTTATATTAAGTTAATATACAAAAAAAATTATGTTTTTTTTAAAGAATATGTTAAAATATTTATAAATTTAGTAGTTTTTATAAAAAACTTATCTATAATCTACATTAATCAATATATTTTTTTAAAATTAAAATATATTAGAAAAATAAATGAACAAACAAACAAAATCTTAGATTGCAATGTATTAAAAGATTTGAATGATTATAGACTATAATAAATAAATTTATTAGATAGTTGAGCATCTACTCAAGTCTATGTTTACAACCTCACAATGTAGTCTAATTTTTGTAAAGATCGTATACAATACAAAATTAACTATTAATACATAATATGATATAAATAATTGAAATAACTATAAATTTTCATAACATCATATTTTTATCTTATTACTAATCTATACTTATTTGAATTATTTTTTTAAAAGCCATAGAAGAAAATTAATCTATAATAAGAAATTTTATTTTTAAAAATAATTAAATAAAATTTAAGATTAAAGTTGTTTAAAATTAACTTTCTATAAAAATAATATTTTTTTTGTAACACCTCTAAAATTAGAAAAATTATTTTAGAATATTAATTTAAAAAATTAATGATAATATTATTCTTATAATAATTATTTGGAACTTCAAAACATAAAAAATTCTAACATTTAAAATTTTATTAAATATACATTGATGATTATTAAATCCATAATACTTAAATAGTAATAGCTATTTTTTTTTATAGAAATTCTATTTTCTTAATATAATTTAGGTCTAATTTCTAAAGATTAATTTTAGATTGAAAAAGCATAAATAAAAATATTTAATTATATATAGCTCTAATCTCTTATATATAGCTCTAATTTCTAATTTCCTTATTTTTTTTAAAAGAGAAAAAATAAAAAATAAAAAATTAAGAAAATAAGTAAATAAAAAATAGTAAAAAATTAATAAAAAATAAAAAATAAAAAATAAAAAAATAATATATTTTAAGATTATATTTAATAAAAAAATTCTCTATTAGAATCTAGAATTTTCAAATATTTTATATAAAATAGATATATTAATATTTTGACATTATATTTGTATTGATGATAATTAGAATTTTAAATTAAATTAATAAATTTGATAAATTATTACATAGACTATTATTTTCAATGATATGAATCACAAAGAACTAAAAGATCAATACACTCTTATGTCATTCAAAAAGTCTAGAAAATCACTTAAAGAAGGTATAATATTAAACTTGAATGGCTATTGTTAAAGACAAGAAGACTAAGAAGTCTTGAGATAAGACTAAAGACCAGAAAAACATTGATAGGAGTGAAGAAGGCTTCATTCTTTCCTCCATATATACTATCCAACTAAGAGCTATATAGCAATGTTCTATAAGACCTCCAACGCATGTCCAATTTGCAAGACATGTATTTTAACTTATAAGGTAAGTTTCCTATATGCGTGCCACATTATTAGCTTGTACCACAAGCTACCTACTTGTACAACATATGACTAATTTATTGGCAAAGTTTCTAACCTACTAATCAATTATAAATATATAAATCAAATGCACATTTATGGAGCTTTTAAGAAGCTTTGTTATAAGACAATATCAAATTTATATTTATTTACCTTCTATTTAACACTTTTATCTAGGAAAATATATTTGTCTATGACATTAGCTCTTCTTTTAGAGACGAGTTCCAAGAGGAGCGATTATCATATGTTGAAGAAATCTAAGATGTGGCAAATTATATTTGCAACATACTTTGATCTTTGTTTCTTTCAAAGGTGGTTGATAGGTCCTCTTAACCATCAATAATCTCTTATTCTAAGATGAAAAGACCACAGTATTATTTGATCATTGTTGAAGCTTTTGTAACTTCCTTTAAATAAAACATTTATAAGACCATTAAGAATTTTTTCCTACTTCCAATAAAATCACTAAACATCAAGAATCTTTTCTAAGGTCATAATACCAAATGCATTATATCTCACCATCTATTTGAGAAAGAACTTGTCATTCTTGAAGATCTTCATCTTTATTACGTTGTCTTGAAGGTTGTAATAATTGCAATGTCTCATTTAATAAGTCAACAAATGATAGCTTTTGAATTAAAGACAAGGGGCCATAACTACTATTCTCTTAGAATAATTCATTTTTGCTAAATTTCAAAGATTTGTATTTAAAAGTATTTAGATTGTTTTGATATTATTTTGATTATACATTTAAATGTAAAAAATGAGTTGGAATGTAAATATGAAAATTTGGAATAACATGAAAATTAAAAAATTAATTTTGGTTTATATTACTAGAATACGGATATTAGTTGTAGCAATACAAAAATAAAAAAATCAATCAATATATATTTTTTAAAAATTAAACACCCAAAATAGGGTTTAATTACACACATCAAATCAAATGGAAAAAAAAAACAGTAGCTACATTTAGAGAAAAAGTCTATTTAACATATTGTACCTCAATGCCCACCTTTCTTAAAGAGATATCAGGACTTCTGATGCTGGTTCTAGCTTCCCTTAATCTTAGCAAAAGGTCCACCTCACTTGTGTCAACAAAGCAAACAAAAAAACACAACAGAAAAATGTCATTGTCTCTGAAAATGAGTGAGTGAGTGAGTGAGTCGGAATGTGTCATTAATAGCGACATTCTGCATTGCGTGACCTTTCACTTTTGGAAGAATTAAAACCCCCACCAACTCCCAGTTCTTTTTAATAAGAAGGGGGATTGGGATTTGGAGGGTGTATGCAGTGAAGAGGTGGCAATCAGATCAATGCAAAGATAGCAAACTCAATAAGCCACATTGCGCAGCAGTTTGCACGTACGGGGACTGTGCATTGCGTCGTGCTATATTCACACCTGGCGGTGGATCTAGTGCTCAGATCCCTCAATAAAACATACTAAAATATATATTTATATTTGTATGTATATGTATTTAAAAAGGCGTATGGAGGAGAATGTACTTTTTGCTGATTATTGTCATTTGCACTGTTGTAAACGTTGGTGTGTTTGCAGCCGACCGAAGAGCGTGGTCCTTTTGTGAGGAGATCAAGGAGAGTCTGAGAGCTGTGTCAGATTCGGTGTCAGTAGCAATGAAAAGGTAAAGTGGGTGGGAACAAGCCCTTGAATGAAGGATTCGTTCACTAGAAAGACGATAGAGTTCATGGAAATGGGTAAAGCCAGTTTGGGATTTGGGGTGAGCGTTTCGAAACACTCTTGGGATGGGTTTGAAATGAAACGCCGAGGCTCATATATTTGCAATATATTTGAGGAAGCAAATTATTTAAAAGAAAAGAAGGGGAGAATTGGTACATCCAGCCAACCATCCCCCACCCAAATGGAGATTGTACATGTTATTAAGTTTCGACCAGTAGGTTCTGTCCAGTCAATTCTCTTCTGGACACAAACGATCTGAACCAACTGCCGATTTTTAACAGTAATATATTCAGTAGATACAATACTTTTTAAAGTAGGGATTTGCCGTTGTTAGCCTCGCCGCTGCGTGCAACCTCGTGTCAAAGCCACCATTTGTTGCTGAGTTCATAAGTTAGTGTTGTGCGTCATTCAACTCACCGGAGATTTGGGTACATGTGATGAGCCGACGCGTTGATCGACCGGTGAGGTTTAATAAAAGGGCAGTGGAATGTGGAGGGCTCTTTTCTTATACAAGAAACTCGACTATTAAATATGCAAGATGCTTGATGAACCCTGTCCAGAAATTTGTCGGTGGAGAAGCAACACACGAGTGTACTACCTACTCCATCACTAGTTTTTTTAACACACCAACCGATGCACGGTGCAATGAACGAGTGTATATTTGCATTAAAAAAACAAACAAAAAAAAAAAATCTCCTTCATGGTCTTCAGTAATCCAGTGGTACGACTCTTCAACTCATGGGCTTGTGAATTAATCCTCATCATGTCGTACCCAAACATTCAAATCACCAAATCATCAGCTCCCCGAATAGTGCAGCATTCTCAAGTTCAGCGGCAGACATGTTCTACAATACACAGAGTGCAGTACCAACTCTACAGGTGGAATTTCGGGCTGGAAATCTGTCATGAACACGCAGAGAAGAACACCACCAACAACAACGACAACATCACCAGAAACAGCTAATCCGAGCTTCTACATCTCGACATGATCTCGTCAGCAGCTGTGGGCTACGGTAATGGAAGAATCAGCCTTAGAGTCTCGTGCTGTCCGTCGTCGCGGAAATATGGTCTCAGTGGGGACACTTTTGTGTTGCGATGGCGTCAAAAGTCCACAAAAGTGTCCCCACTGAGCACAGTACGACTGAGACACAGAGATCCAACGACGTTCCGGTGAAGACTGGAATTCGTCAAGTATTTTTGTTGAGGTGGAGTGGAAGCTGAGGATGAAGTCGTGCGTGTCGGTGACAAAATCCACCTGTTCGATGAGGGGGTTTGGACCGTGGAGAACCGGCAGCGCATGCATACGCCTGCAGCCATGAAGGCTGTACGAAAGACGCGTTAACTCGAAGACTAGTTATAGCGGTGGGGATTACAATAAGCGAGGGATTAAGGAGATCGTTAATGAACGCGGTCGGAAGGTACGCGGGGGAGATATCGAGCCGTAGGCCTTTTTGCATTAAATAAAAATAAGAATAAAATCATGCGGCCCACCTCTCGTGGGGCGGGACCAGACCAAGCGGAGATTTCAATTTCCGCTTTTCCGAGCAGCTGCTGCTACTACTGCAGATGTTGATAAATATTCGAGCTCAGTGGTCTGAACATGTCTCGAAGGCACGCATGGTGAGATGAGCCCAGTGGTTCTCCAAGCTATTTTTCCTCCGTGTTTGGAGTTCAGCGAAATCTGATGCTGCCACCGTCAGACGAGCTGGCTCTCGGAAACGGTGTGAATCTGTCTATCCTCGCAACAGACAGCGAGGTGTATTGAGGAAGAGTGACATAGGGTGAGCCGTGAAATGAATTTTTTTTGTACAAAAAGAAGATTGAGAGTAGGGAATAACCGAAGGGAGATGAGAGTGTGAACTGTGAGGGTTTGGTGAGCAGAGCTGGATAAGTAGCTAGCAAAGGCAGATCTAAGGAACAGAAAGAGAGGAAGACAGAGAGAGAGCGAGAGAGAGTGGTGGTGTTGCGACGCTTCCTGGTGATGGGAACACGGGTGCAGTGCAGAGCTTTACTGCGGCAATGCTAGGATACACAAACATATCCAAGTACTTCTCGGCAACCGGAGCCTGTGAGCTTGTGCTTGTACCATACGATTGGCACACACCTAGTACGAGATGGCGAGCTTGGGGAGAGGTTACGGTGGTTCCAATGTCACGCTTGTGCGAAACGAGAGCTCGAACGATACCTTCGTTGCCATGCTTACATCTTGTTCTCCTGTAACACTTCAAGGTTCTTCGTCTAGATACTCTCTTTCTTGCTCTCTCTCTATCTCACTCCTTTCATCTGTATATTTGCGTGTTTTATCATGAGGAATCTGAACATGGCATTACGTGGTCTTGCTCATCGAATCGTGAGCACAACATTCCTTCGTTCACCGGTGGAGGATGAATCAATTGAAGATTGAAATACTGAGAGTGGGTCTTGTTGAATTGAGAAAGTCTGGCAGTAGTTAGCGTACGTGTGGACTTTGGAGATCATAGAACTGTTTAGATGCAGTGTGGATTCGAAAGCTGCCTTGAGAGTTTAAATCATCACACAATCTTATATACGACTTACAAGATTGCTCTAAATTCCGTATTACGATCGCCGCAGAACTTTTTATGTAACAGTGACGCCTATTTGCCTTATCTAACAAAATGTCCGCTCACGCATTGTGCAGTTCAACGCGCAGATGGAAGCCTAGAGGATGCAGTGACCAGTTTTGATAAGAAGCGTCCCTTCTGTGCCGCGTTTGAAGCGTCCGGTGAAGATCCAGCAGAAGAGGAAATTGGCGATGACTTCACACAACAAGTGGAGAAGAAGAGAAGACTGACCTTCGATCAGGTCAGGTCACTGGAGTACAACTTCGAGATTGAGAATAAACTCGAGCCCGAGAGAAAAATGCAGCTCGCGAAAGAGCTTGGACTCCAGCCCAGGCAAGTGGCTGTGTGGTTTCAGAACCGCCGCGCACGCTGGAAAACGAAGCAGCTGGAACGCGATTATGAGGTTCTCAACCTGGACTACAACCGGCTGAAGAAGGAATTCGATGCTGTGATTCAAGAGAAGCAAGAGCTCCAGGACGCGGTGAGGCTCTGATCTTGTCACAACTCCAATTTAAGAGCTCAATTTATCAGAGAAAGAGGATTCGTTCTTTTAGGACTTACTTTCGTTCGTTCTCCTCATTCGTTGCATTAGGACTCTTGGGCGTTTGGCATTCGAATTTTTGGTTGTACCCCACAAAAAACGTCTAGACGATTTAGATCGCATAGTAGAGGTGCTTAGTTTGGTCACAGCACTATCATGAGCGATGAGATTGTGAAAAGTCTTAGTTAGATAACGATGACAACTTTCAGTTCTATTTGGTTCTTGTAGTCCAGCACACTCAGTAACCATCTCTTCCTGCGACCATGCTATTCACCTACATTAAATGCTCCGTAAGATCAGTGAGCTCATTCTGCTGCCAGAAGTCGAAAACCATCTTCAATATTGTACCTGCTCCCGTGGAATTAGTTGTAAAGCAGTCTCGTCATCTGGGAGCAATGGCTGGAACTGATTTTTCATTCCAAATGTGTTTCTTAACAGGTTAAGACTCTGAAAGAGAAGTCGCCAATGCCACAACCAAGCCCAGCCGGGAATCCACAAGAGAAGCTTAAGAAACCGAAAACGGCGACGCAGCCTTCTCCTCCGCGGACCTCCGAGGCACCTGTAAAGTTGGAACGGACAAGTGCTGCGCACAAAGCCAGGAATGGTGACCTGACGCGGCCGCATGTGGGAGCAGGTTTGAGGGTGACATTTAGCTCCGACAGCCTTTCAAGCGAAATATTGAACGCAGACAGCCCTCACACAACGTCGGACAGTGTCTCCCTCCCCTCTCTAGATCAGATCACTACCGATGGCCTTATTTCTGGGAATTCCATGGTGGACTCCAGCATCATGGACATGAGTGACAGCATTTGCGACCAAATTCTCTCACCGCTAGCTTGCCAGCGCGTGTCTGTGAAGCTCGAGGAGGGTTCGTGCCAAGATGATTCATGTAATTACATTTTATCACACCTGTACGAGGAAAAGTGTGTGCCCTGGTGGGACTGGCCTTGAGCTCTGATTCATTACGCAAGCTTTGGGAGGAGAGTCTTTCTGACCAAGGTTAGTTTTCTCAATTCCTCAAGCACCGTAGCTAATTGCATCACCCTCGCCACGGCTCTGGTTTCGGTTCAGATGCGCAAACCCTCGCGCTTCCACCCACTGCAGCTCATTTTTTTCGTGTCTACGAGCCTATGACTACCACGCCGAGTGCTTTCAAGTCGAACTGATCACGTGACACCGATTTCTCACTGTGAACACGGACATTAGACTCCAGAGAAATATTACAATGGCTCATGCTGTTGATGTCACTTCCATATTGCTAGAAGAGAGGTCTGATATGACGTGAGAACAGGCCAAGTAATTTTTTTACTCTACTCTTAGAAGTATAGATATGAAACAAACGTCCTTTGACTGTAATGAGCGAGCTCAGAATTTGTTCATGGCTGCACCGACTCAAGGAGGGCTCACGCATTCTAAGCTTGTTCAATGTTAATATTTGTACTCTTGAAACAAACTCCTCGTACCTGAGTCTTCAAAGATACAGAATCGTAAATTGTCATACACCAATGATATGGGATGTGCCTACGAATTCAGTCAATATTTGATCTTGACATGGTTGAGCGACACTAAGTTCACATGCTGTGGAATGTCTTCTGTGTTCAGTCTTGATTCAAAGTAGTTCAAACTTTCACAATGATAGGACTGTAGTCTTACCATAATCTTATTGAAAGTTCATTTTTGGATTCGCTCTTTCTCATCTCGTGTACACTGAGTCCACCGCGGTTTGAAATCGAACAACTCAGGACACTGACCATCCAAGAGGAAGGAACACACAATATTTTTTCTTCTACATCAATGTTCAATGTGTCATTCATCGAAGCAACCTGGACACATCGACTGCACGCCCACAGCATTCAGTGCATCATTTCGTATGGTATGTGGAAATATACCCTCTACAGAGGTACTTCACAAGCACTTGGAAGTGTGCATTGAGGAGCAGATGGCGGAGCCAGCGCGGCAACTGGGCGTCGTCATCATCGTCGAAACTTCCACCATTTCACAGCATATTGATAATTTACAGGCAACTTGGAGTATGAATATTCGGGAGAGGAATGCTGAACAGTGGGTGTACAAGATTTTCAACCTTTACCATCCTTGTTACTTTTATGGCTCTCTTTATGTGTAGTGCTGGCGGATCTGGGGTCTTTCTGTATTCGCAGACGAGAGCTTCGTCACCAGATGCAAGCTCTACGTGTGCTCCCCTTGAGTAGAACAAAGTATTCCTTGTTATAAGCCAAGCAGCAGTCGGCCATCATTCCGGAAGCCTTGAGTGGCCACTATTGAAGCCATGACATGTGCTGTGTATTTGACTGTACGGTAATACTTGTTTGTATCTCTTCTGCAAAGATCTGCTCCCTACAATTAGAAATCTGGGAAGACCGATTCACAAACTCGTGTTGAGATGCCCAATTTGGCATTGGTCTTTTCAGAATTAGCTTGGAAGGTAATCTTGAAACAGAAACACACACACACACACACACACACACTCGGGATCGGTTCATCTGAATTCATGAAGAAACAGGGGGGTTATATTATGATCCTCTTTTGTGACTCCCAAGCACTGCCGAGGGCATGCGTGGTGTGAGATCGTGCACGGTCTGGATGCTCCGAAATCATGTGGAAGAGGTACATGAGTCTGGCAGGAAAAGATTACATATGATATTTTGCTACGGTTGCTTTTACCCTTGAAGATGAAAGGCTCTTCTAGTTATGGTTGCTTCATCCAGCCTGACACAAATAGATGCTAAAAATCTGGGGTTGTAGAACAGGGGTTTCATTGATTCCACAAGCAGAGTTGTCGGTCTTGCGCTGACAAGGTAACTCTCGTGGCGTAGGAGGTTATGTTTCAGAGACTCGCGTGTCCACCACACTCTGGAATGTAGCCGGTGCTTAAAGCCAGCTGCAACTGCGCAATACAATTGTTAAATACGCACATCTGCGTGCCCTTGGTCATTTCGCCATCTCTACTCCACGAAGCATTAGAACGGGTTCACCGTATCTGGAAACCCTAAACCAAAAGCGTCGTCTGCACCTTATTAGCATGTGCTAGAACATCATAGACGTCCTCGTCACCAGCTGATGACCTTTCCCCTGTTCAATTCCCTCCTGCAGACCAGGTAACCATTTCCGCAGGTCTGGTTTCGCGCTTCTTGTTGCGGAAGCTTAACAACCCAGGACCATCAACAGCTGTCTTTTACTCCGTGCAACGCCATCATCAAATGAACAGTGCAAATCAATTGTTTTCCGCTTCTTCTGTTTTTTTCCCTTATGGGTCTCAAACCGAGCTTCGGGTCCTTTTCAACGACTACCTCGCAGGCGCAGCGGCTTAAAATGGTAAGTGGGACCCGCGCCTCGCAGAAGGAAAACCCGATTTCGTCGTCTAAGCGTGAACTTTAAGAGGGGGACGACTCTCGCTTTCGCTAATTCAATGAGGGTAGTCTTTCCCTCCCCCATGTGCACCTAACGTCTGACTAAGCCACGAGTGTTGGCTCCAGGCCATAATTTCCTGTCTGTCTGCGTGCCCTTGCGACGACGTGGTTGTCAACACAGCTGGTTCTTACCTCGTGATGACGACCATGATGTCTCTTCATCAATCACTTCATGGTGTGCAGGACTGGCGGACGAAGCATGCGCCCTTGTTCATTTGGCCACCACCGAACTCGCCAGGCTCCACAACACCCGTCACGTCCACCTCTTTCCCTCCCTCTCCCTGTCTATCTATCTGTCTGCCTCCTTCCCTGCCCTTTTTGGCCTTTCTGCCAACCCTCCCCCCATGAGCTTCGCGCAAACACAGTGCTCTCACCAGCCTTGCTTACACATTTCCCTTGCAACCGACTGTCTGCAACCCCCACGGTATCCATTGCCCTGCAGTATTGGAAAAAAAAAAAAAAAAGAAGAAGAAAAGAAGCACACTCATACATACAGCCCCTGCGTTTGCTGCTCTAATCTTCTATCCTACAATTGTTGTGTTATGGTTTACTAGATTTTGTAGTTTTTTCTTTGCTTTTTTTTTTTCTTCTTTCAATTAAAACATGAAATAAAAAATAGTAAAAAAAAAACATAGTGAATAAAAGATCTATTTGGCATGCTTGAGATATGTCATGGACATATACATGTAAGCCAATAATTACTTGTATAAATAGGTAGAAATAAGTAGAAGTAGGTAAAAGTAAGTTAATTCTATAATATCTTTTATAAAAGCTTTCTAGAAGCTTCATAGACATTGCTTTGACTTTATAGGTGTGTATGATTGACTTTTTGGGTTAAAAAAGTGGTCAACAAGTTGGCCATGTGCCACACATGTTGTTAGCTTGAAGATTAAGCTAACTATGTGGTCTACATATAGAAAAATTGCCTTATAAGTCAAGGCATGTGTTCTACAAAGTCAACACATATTGGAGGTCCTATAGAACATCACCACGTAGCCCTTAGTTAGATAGTATATATAGAGACAAGAGTGAAGCCTTCTTCAGTCTTGTCAATTCCTTTCTTGCTTCTAGTCTAGTTTCAAGAGTCTCAAGTTTTCTTGTCTTTTGGCAATAAGCCATTCCAATTTCTTTTTAATATACGTACTTCCTTATATCTATTTTGTTACTTTTTTTTTGACATGGATTTCATTGATTTATGCATCATCTTTTAGTTCATATTCTTAATAGATTAACAAGAGTACACTTACAATATCAAAGCTTTGTCTTGTTTTAATTAAGAGTAGATTACTCCTTTCTCATGATAAGACATAAACATATTTGAAGGTGCAGATTACCCTCTTCTACATTGATATTATTCTTAGTATTTTCTTTGTCTTCAAGTCCTTTCTTCTCCTTGTCTTGAGTGGTATTAGATATTTTTCCAAGTGTTATTATGGCAGAGCTTGTGAAATGAAGAGTGCAATGGCACAAATGCAAGAGTAATTGAGAGAGTTAATACTTGCAATGCATCAACTTAGCTTACCACTAGAAGGGTCAACAAAAATGGCAAGAAGTGAAGATATAGAGATGATTAAAACTGCTTTAATATCTATATCAAATCATGTCCCTCCACCTATAGTGAAACATCCTTCAAGTATTAGAGAACCAAAAGTTTCTTTGCTCAAGAAGTTTGATGGTACAAGATCCAAATTTTGAGGATTTATCAATCAAGTACAACTTGTGATTGAACGTCAATCTCAAAGCTATCTAATTCCAAGATCACAAGTTAGATTCATTAATACACTTCTTGTAGGTTTAACACTATCATGATTTTCATCTTTTTTTAAATAACAAGATCCAATATTAGATAATGTGAAGGCATTTTTGGCAAAATTTTGGTCCATGTATGGAAAATATAATGCAATTCGTGTTGCAACCAACAAGAACCATATTTTACATCAAAGCAATCAATCTATAACATTATATGCTTCACATTTTTAACAACTTGTAACTGATATCAAAGAAAATGTTATTGTACTTATTAGCCAATTTCTCTATGGATTATAATATGAAGTAAAGAAATTGATGTTCAACTTATTTGATCCTCAAACATTAAGTCAAGCAATTGACTTTGTTGTGAAATGTGACAATTGACCTTTTGAATTTTAATCTGAAAGTCGTACAAATGGGCCTCAACGTTACTATAATTCAATGGCAACATCAACATCTCTTCAACACGTACATTCAGAAATAGAGGATATGTAAATTAATGCGGTATGTTTTAAATCTCTTATCAAGCAAGAAAAGATTCTTCATTGTCAAGAAGGATTGTACTTATATTATAGAGAATCTAAATAGACTACTCAACATTGTTCAAAGAAGTGACGATATCTCAAAATGAGAAGCACATTTTTCAAAGAAGACAATGTATTGGAAAACAAATTTATTCAGCTACAATAGAGATTGTGTGGTTGGAATCTTGTATAATTTTTAATGAAGGTCCTATCCTCTCCTCAAAACCTTTTCTTTGTTTTATAATAGATGTGCGTTTAGGACCTAATAATTATAAAGCCTCTGCCTTGATAGATTCAAGAGCCTCAACTTGTTTCTTAGACGTAGAATTTGTTAAAAGTTATAAAATACCGTTAGTACAAAAAATCAAGCATGTTCATGTAGAAGTCATAGATGGTCGTCCATTGTCTTTTAGAGATGTTACTCATGAAACACTTCTTATAAATGTAGTAATAAATAGTCATAGTAGTTATATAATCTTTAATATAATTAGATCTCCTATTAATCGAATCATTTTAGATTTATCGTAGTTAGAAAAGTATAATCCTTGTATAGATTGGATTTCTCATACCCTTGACTTTTCTAAAAGTATGATTAAGAGTAAAATTAATCCAGTATAAAGTCATAAGTCTACTACAATTAAACTTATGTTTGTAGGTGTAAGAGCTTTCTTGCATGCTACAAAAGAAGGATCACCTTGTATCATTTATACTACACTTGTTTCTAATGATGCAAAGACTTCAAATGGCATTCTCAACCAATATCAAAAATTTCAAGATGT